CTCAGTTGGCACGATCTTCGAGAACAAAATCACAGAGCTGTTTATAGGTTCAATATATTTTAAATAGATTTGGATAACAAAATTTCTTAAATATATTGTATGTCTAAGACTACACTATGTGAAAGACTACACTTAAACTCTCTTAAAACGTTTTCTGGTCCTGGCCAGTTTTCTAAGCTCTCGTCCTCTGACGAATCGATGAACCAGAACTCCGTTGTACTATTTTTTACGTTTTTATAAACTCGATTTCTTTTTTATTTCACTTTAATTTGTACAAATTTACATATGTACATATGCATGAGCACACTATTTAGTTTGCCCGATTTGTAAACAAAGCTTCTAAGCGTTGAAAAATATACTATTGTGAACAACCTAAACGAGCGAAATTCAAACTAGTGCTGTTCTTCATCGAATGAGCGCCATAATACCAAATTCCTTCGATCAGCACTTTCGACCACAGTCGAAGATCGAATGCAACTCATAATAGGGGCCATTATGATATAATCACTACCACAAGCTACCAGCTCCTCTGGGATTTCCTCCGATTGAACTATTGCATTGTTGTGTGCGATTTCTTGATCTGGTGGGTCGGAACAAATACCATACTTTAAGAAACTTGCTACCCCTTTCTCCGGCGGCGTGAGAATGTGCAGACTGTGTGGGCCCCCACCAGTTGCACGAAATTCTGTCCCGCAAAATCTGTCCAAACCAAAATAAATTTTTGTTTATTGAAACTTTTTGGTCCAACATTTTCACCAACAATTCACGTCTAAGATTTTTTTCATTTGCCGCTTTAAATAACTTAACAAAAGTAGTATTTCCGCGAAGAACTTCTTGAAATTCTCCAATTGTGCAGCATTGCTCGGTTAATCGCAAAACGAATTAAATTTGAATCACTTTTTTCCTCTTCACTACCTGGCGGCAGCAATGATCCAGTTCTATAGTAAATCCGTCCTAGAGGCTTTACAGTATAGTTGATGGCAATTTAAAAATGGCTGCGTATCATTGTTCTTCAAAAATTCAATATAATAATAATAATAGATTGACGCTTACACATATGTTAGTGTTTGGCTGAGCTTCTCCTCCGATTTGTGGCCTGCGTCTTGATGTTGTCATAAAAGTGGAGGGACCTACAGTTTTACGCCGACTCCGAACGTCGATTGTATTTTTTGCGAAGCTGTGTTTTATGGCAGAAATACACTCGGAGGTTTGCCATTGCCTGCCGGGGTGTGACCGCTGTAACGAAAAAACTTTATTTTTTATTTTTTTTTGCGATGTTGCTTTGTCCAGGGCTTGAACCCAGGCGCTGCGGAGTAGAAGCGCGCACTGCTTACCACTACACCACAGCGGCCGCAATGCAATATACATACACTTATTTCAGACGAAATACCTTAAAAGCTTAAACACATAATACAATTGGAAAATCACATCCATTGGGCCAATCGTAACACAGGAGAGTTCGATATGCTTAACGGTGCAACAGGTCGATTTAATGTGACATTCATGGAACCCATGATTCAATAATACAAGGTTAGATAATTATTGACAGCTGCGGTTTGACACTCCCTTACAAAAGGTTGCATTTACGAAGGACAGAGAAAGTGCAAGAATGCAATCCCTTGTTTCGAAAATGGTAGTAGAAAAGTACGCAAAGTAGGCAATTAGTAGTGAAATTCCTTTCATAAATTCTAATGTTTTTTGCAGGAAATCTGTCATTTTAAACGAAATGTTGAACGTAATATTGATATATCTACGTGAATTACGTAATTTATATCATATATGTAATACTCCTATATTGGCAGTAAGAGCTAGTACCGTCCGAAAACACTACAGTACAGATATATCAATAAACACGTACGAAAGAAAAGGAACACATACGTTTATAAATAAACATGTACACAACACATATACAAATACGGCACTCAAGTACACAATATATTGATTAAAACGGTACTAGACTGTCTCGCTTTGATTTCGGAATGCTTACACATTGAGAAGTTAGCTTACTGCCAATATAGAAGTATTACATATATGATTTATATCCTATTTAGCCGCATAAAAACTGCAAAATGACTCAAAATTAAAATAAGACCACTATGAGATTGATGTAAACATCCAATGCTTAGGTTTTCATCAGTTAAATATGCTTCATATGCATGTACAAATAAACATATTGCACAAAAGCTTAGACTTTAATTTCACACCAAAGCTACACTGTTTCCATGTAAATTTGCAAAGAAGCAACACGGTGCCACTGCTAAGGGAGCGGTGCGAGAGAGACAACTGTCAGTTTATCGAACCTTGTATTATTGAATCATGCATGGAACCTTTTCTCACTTGGCGGTTTTTAGTAATAATTCAACTCCAGCGCCACCTGGCAGCACTTGTTTGCAATAGTATTACCGTTACAAATACATATTTTAAATATTAGCCAAATCGGATCATAAATAATGGGTCGATTGTCGATATCAACCGAACTTCAGTTGAGTTGGCAGTTGCCAAAACGATATTAAAGATGGCATCTGGCAACTCTCAACCGTCAACTGAAGTTGTCACAAAGTGTGTATACTTGCAACTGCATTTTTGTGGTTGCTGTGGAGGTTAGAAGAGCGTTTTTACAAGCGAATATTTAAAAGTGAGTAAAATATTTTAATTTTTAGCAGTTTTAACGTTACTAAAGTTTTGCAATGTATTTTGCTTTTGCAGAAAAGATGGTGAAAATAACTACAAAACAACAGTTTAAGATTTTGGTGCAACAAATGGAGCAAAATCCTCCGATTGCTCGTGGTGTACGCGCTTTTGGCGAGACAAAAGCAAATACTGAGCATGTTCGGAAGAAAGTTTCTTCTAAATTAAATAGTTACGGACCGCCAACTCGTACATCCGAAGAATGGCAAAGGGTATGGATACATTTTAAAGCCAAGTTAAAAAAGAAAATGGCACATAATAGGAGGAATATATCCTGAACTGAAAATATTGCCTACATTGAGGAAATTAATACAATTTTAGAGGTAGAGACTGAGTAACCACAGCAAGAAACGGTGACGCCTCCTGTAGCAGTAAAACTACCCAGGAGAAAGAGGGCGCACGATATTAGATTAGACCTCCTCCAGCAACAAACAGGAACCCAGGGTGAGGTTGTTAATAAGTTGGACAAAATTGAAAGAAAGCTGTCCAGAAGAAATGATCTCTTAAAAGATATACGGGATTTGAAGAGGGAAAAATTAAAAATATTTAAGGAAGCGCATGAATTGAAAAAAAGAACATCAGATGCTTGTTGAAGAGCAGCATTTGAACAAAAAAATTAAACAAAAAAAACTGGAGCTCTTAGAAAAACAGATCTCCAATTTAAGTTGAGGCTTTTTACCTTTATTTGTACCTATATTTTTTACTATTAAGATCAGTTGAATGAACTGTGTTATTTTTTTTTAGTTTTAAGAAAAGTGATTTATGTTTTTTTTGTTGCGATATAGTATTTTTAATTAAATCCAAAGAGAATTAGGTACATATATTTTGTATACTTTATCGACGGCTGAGTGGGAGATCGACCTATCTCGGCAGTCGGTTCGAAAACGCCGTATCTCAGAAAAGTTTTCAATAAAGCCCTATCTCAGATTTTGATTGAAAAACGCCATATCTCATATGCAAATATATTGGGATAGGCCGTTTTTAATTCGAATTCTGAAATAGGGCGTTCTTCAATCAAATTCTGAAATAGAGCGTTATTAGGAAGTTTTCTGATATATGGCGTTTTCGAACTGGCTGCCGAGATAGGACGACCTTTTATTCAGCCTTCGATATGTGATATATTAGTTTTAAGGAAAACTGAATGAAAAGTTGAAATAAAAAAAGGTTGATTTCATACCTGAAAATGAATAAACATGAAGAACGCTAAAAAGATATAAATGTGTTGTTTACTTTTAATAAAATTGAATTTAAAATGAAATACTTTATTCAACTAAAAGATTATTTTATTCATTTAAACATTGCATTACATTATATCTTATATCAGAGGCAACGGTGTTATCATTCTCGGTTACATTTGGACTTGCAACTTCCTGCGAGATTGTCGGATCTTCCTCCCAGTCTGCTTTATAGTGTAAACCAATATTATGCAACGCGCAACATGCATTTATTATTGACCCAGCTTTGTCAGGTTTATAGTGCAGGCCCCTTTCAGCAGAAATACATCTAAATATAGACTTAAGGACGCCATTTGTCCGCTCTATCACATTTCGGGCTTTAGAATTAAGGGTGGGTAACTCAGCAAATTTATAGGAGTTGACTCAATGACTCCAACTCACTTTAAGGAGTCAGCTCATTCAACTAACTCATTTGACTCTTTGTATGTTACACTCATTCGTATCGTAGACTCGTTTTGAGGCATAGATGCGGTATAGCGGCCGTTGAGATAAAACAAAACTTTTAAGTGGGCGTGGTCAGCTCCTTTCTACTGATTTGAAAGGTGTAATTTTTTTTGTGTGCAAATTAATAGGGCGGTGCTAGGGGGGAGGGTAAAGGTGGAATTTTCAATATTTTCAAAAGCTTATATTTCGAAACCTATTGTACCGAATTTCAAAATGTGGATATGGTTGGAAAGGCAATTGATTTGATATGCACATCTTTATATATCTTACATACATACATATTTCGAGAAAAACTAAAAAAAAAACCAAATTATAAGAATTTGTGAGATTTGACATAACACCCGCAATACAAAATACATGTGGTTGTTGTTGTTGTATTCTTGCCACCACCTTGTATAAATTCGCCTCGTGCAAAAACAAAATGCAAGACTTTGCCATGCTAAACACTGTGGCGAAGCGAGAGAGTTATATGGACAAATATGAGCCACTATGATTCAATTGATTCATGTGAGCCCTACGGCTACGTTACATTTTTTTTTGGACAGGGAGTCTGAGTTACCGATTCACTTATAGGAATCAACTCAATAACTCAACTCTGAGTTGAGTTACCCACCTCTATTTAGAATGGATTGTATTGTATTTTGCTTCAGGAGATTGAGGTTCCGCTGAACGAAAAGGGGTCAAAAGATGTGGTTCTAATGGAAATCCAGAATCACCTAGGTATTTTAAGGTTAAATCAAAAGGTTTCATAACTATTAACGAAATACAACCTAGAAGCCAGGTGTTCGGACCAAATCATCAGCAACCATTTGTTTCAAATCACTATTGTTCCAAATAAAAGCATCATGAGTAGATCCTGGATGTCTAGCATCAACATACCGTATCCGCATTTGGTAATCGCACATCTACAAAAAAACAAAAATGAAATGTCGTACAAAATAACCATACAAGATAACTCACCAGTAAAACATTCAAACTGAAATATCCTTTTCTGTTCATATATAAGTGGCGAACATCCTCCTTCGGTCCCATTATATGCACATGTGTCCCATCTATACATCCAACAACACCAGGAAATTTCGTTTTCGAGTAAAATAAGTTCTTCTTGTTTTTGGATTTCTCTTCCTCGGCCATTTTTGCAGTAATCCATTGATTGCAAATTTTTTCCTCAATCAGTTGAAGCATCTCTTTTAAAACAACCGACATCGTAGGTTGCGCCAGTCCCAAATTGAAGTCATTGCCGTGAGACTTCAGAAAACTTCCTTCTGCAAAAAAATCGGAGAGCTCCGCAAACTTTTATTAGCGGAGGTACTGCAGTTGAACGATGGCTCCGCCTAAAGTCATTCCTCAATGTATTTACCAAATATACAGGCATGTTCTGCAAATCGTTTTCGGCCAAAATTTTCGATTTTTCCGTTTTTAAATCGTATGACACGTTCTGTAAATCGTTCCGTTTTTGCTTTTTCGAACATCACCAAATCGTTTTGTCACCCTGTTCTGAAAATCGGAATCGTTGGAATTTTACCGTTTTATAATCGGCAGCGCGGACGCTAGCGGTTTAAAATTTTATTGCGTTTTATGTGAATAATACGTTTAACAATGTAAGTATGAAATTGTAAAAATTGTGGTTATTTGTAAATAAATAATACTTTTAATCCTATTTTAGGGGAAAACATAAGAATTCGAAGCAAGAGTTGATTTTTGTCCAATTCATGGAAGAAAATCCAGACCTGGCTAAAAATTTTGTTAAGGGCGATCGAGTAATTGCCGAAGAAAAATGGAAAGAGTTAACCACGTTACTCAATGCTGAAGGTCCACCCCAGAAGCATGTTAATGGATGGAAGAAAGTTAGTTACACTTTATAAATTTTCCTAGTTCCTACTCTTTTAACAGTTTCAATTTTGTACAGATATGGTCTGACTGGAAAGGTTGCATTAAAAAAAAAGGTGGCCCATAATAAGATGGAAACAAGAGCAACAGGAGGAGGCCCCTTTAATCAATATATCTTGTCCCAAAATGAGGAATCCGTTGCCAGAATTTGCGGAATTTTCGCGGCTGTAGAGGGAATAGCGCAAGCCAGAACTTTCGGCACAGAAAGTGAAACAAACAACCTAAGCGTCAGTGATTCCAATGAAGACGAACGTCCACAGACAAGTAGGGAAGCCATCAGTACAAGACCAGCAAAAAGAAACAGGGATTCAGACACGCAGGACTGCCTTCAATCGTGTATGAAAACTCAAGCAAAAGAAATGAAAACCATTTCAGCGACATTAGGCGAAATGTGTGAAAATCAAAACAAAATTGCAAAAACAGACGAAGAAAAGAAAAATTATATTGAATGGATTTGTAACTTGGTTGAGACACAAAATCAGCTTCTAGAGGAACAAAATCATTTAATGAGACTGGACTTGGAGGAAAAAAAGAGACACCACATTAAGATGGAGGAATTGACACAAGAAAAAGTAAAAATTAAACTGAAGATGTTTGAGCTAGAAGCATCAATGCGATGAATGTACACATAAATACATATGTACATACATACATGAATAAAATTTATTTTACATTATATGAATTCTACGAGTAAATAAAGTTTAAGTATTACAAGATTAAATTATTAGCGATAGTGTCTCTTAAATTTCGACCAGCATTATTTAAATTTGTGTTTTCTTCAAGCTCAGCAATTTCCTCGCCGATTTCTGCAGGTTCTGCTGTGGTTTCTGGGTCCTCATTATCTTCCATTTGATAATGCCTACAAATGTTATGTAGCGCGCAACAAACATTTATTATCTGCACTACTTTTTTGTGGAGCATAAGGTAATGTAGATTTTAAACACCTGAACCGGCTCTTAAGAACTCCTATAACTTGATCTATAATGTTACGTGCCTTAGAATGTTGACGGTTAAACCTATGCTC